TTTTTTTTTATATATATGAATATAATGTAAGTTTGCTTTCTGACTTCGAAGAGGGACGAGCATTAACTGGATAGTTTTAAAACTTCAAAGCCATAATCAACATGAAAAATAATAAAATGTCACATATAAAGCTTTTATTATAAGTGACTAAGTGAAAGAAGTAAGCGTTCGCTTGTCAGTATGCTCGACTAGCAGATACCATGAACACAGTAGACGTGTCAACATGTAAATAACTTCACTTTAGTGTTTCTTACTTTACTTTATGCAGCAAATTTGGTAAGTCTAGTCTTCAAATATTTGATATTGATTAAAATCGATTTCATAGAAATAGAAAAAGTTATCAATCATTTTAAGATGTCTTATGGCAGAGACTATCAGACGAAACAGACATAAAAATATTTCGATAAATTGCCAAAAAAAATTAATTGAAAATATTTACAGAATAATGTTCGACAAAAAAAAAATAAAAACAAATAAGTTTAATTGTAAACTTGTTAAAATTATATGCTTTTTATGATACTAGTTGTACTCAAGATAAGAGCTGCTAAGTTTTTTGGGAAATACTTTTCAGTTAAATACGAACAATACAATCATCAGAGGCCAAAGCAAACATTATCTATATACTCCAATCTTAAATCTGGTATCGGCTTTCTCTATGTTTACTTATTAAGTTAAGTTAAATAATATATATTTATATCGCTATAAACTATGTTTTAATGCGCTTGAAATATTTTTCATTTTTTTTTTTGCTTATTTATTCTATTTTCACCTTTCTCCTTCTTTTCCTCAATTACTTTTCTCTCTCTTCCTCTCTCTCTCTCTCTCTCTCTCTCTCTCTCTCTCTCTCTCTCTCTCTCTCTCTCTCTCTGTGTTTCTGTCTGTTCGTCGATTCTTGAATCGATCTTATTTTCAAAATACATAAGCACGTCGTATAACTATGTTTACATAGAGTACTCCCCGACAATTTAGTAGTCTCACGTGTGATGTTACATTATGATGGCTTTTAATATCTTTATCTTTCAGCCGAGTCAGCCATTCAGCTCATTCACCGGTATATATCCAGTATTTCCCTGCCACGATCCATTGCGTTGTTTAATGTCCTCAACAGATAATGAAATGTGTATACTATGCTGGCAATAAGGATCGTTGTTGTAATAGTGCCCCCAGGCAGCCAACTCCAGATCCATAAGTAGGAATCGAAGTGGCGACTAAGCGTCGCTTGACCCGATCCACCGTTGTAGGTCAGCTCTTCGTTTTTAACTACTTCATTTGGATGTTTATCATAATTGTGATGATCATCTGGAATGTGTAAAACGTTTAAGTTAAAAAGATTCGTAACAAGTCTTGAGATTTTAGCCTGGCTAAATACATAGTATAAGGCAAAATCGTGTTGTACTCATGATCTTACGCATACATAGGAAGTTGGTTGACATTGGTCGGGTTAGGCACAGCGCAATCTTTTCTTTATATATTATTTTTTATTAAAAATGGACTAATTTTCATTTGTTATTATTACTCGCACTATATATCATTAGGCAATGTGTCGAGCAAAGGTTTGATATATCTTTTCATCCACAGGTTATTTCAGGTAAAGAACGCGCAGCAAATAGTTCTGCTAAATTCACAAGATTTTGATGATCTACATACACTTCAGAGCCAGCCCGTTTGTTGTCCAGCTTCAAAATGTGTATATTTGTATTTGTAAGGGAAAACAGTCAAATCAAACCATTTCTGTATTCACAGTCACACTTTGATCTCGGTTTTTGCAGTCACCACTATGATAAAGCTAGTTAGCTACAAAACTTCGGAAGGTTCAATATATTTTCAATAAGTCACGCCGCCACGTTTTCTTTAGTACGTCATTAGAGGTAGCCAAGTTTCTATTGATATCGGCTTTTTCGATTTCTTATGCCTAGATATATGGTCATGTTCGATTTCCTTATAACAATTTTCTACAAAAGTGGAAAATGACTTTATATTGTCGTGCTGTCCTCGAACGATATGTTCCAACAAACAACTGCAAAGCTGTTAGAACCCTATTATATTGGCAATATAATCTATACTCAAACTATAAAACTTTGATAGACGCAATTTAAACAAGTAAGAAAGATCTAGTCGGGGTGCCCGACTAGGAGATACCCTGATCCCAGTCCTATATGCGTTTTTAATATTTTTCGTAGTTTGTATCGAGTATTCAAAAAAAAACAAATGAAAACTGACATTGCGACGACACCAAGATTCGAACCCAAATTGTTTACGCAACGAACATCAACTCTACCAACATCGCCACTTCATAATTTAAAAATTAAAAAAAACAATAAAAAATGCCTCCTCGATATGCGCGTGCTATATACGGAATACACAAAAAATTCACGTCTCTAGCTCTTATAGATGCTGAGATCGACGCGTTCACATATACGGACAGACGGACAGGCCTCAATCGACTCAACTTGTCGTCCTGATCAAGAATATACTTTATATACTTTATGGGGTCCACCACGACTCCTTCTGCCTGTTACATACATTTGAACAAGACCATTATAACCTGATTTCCCATTTTCAATGGCATCAGGGTATAAAAATGAATGAATGAAACGAATGAATGAGATAAAAATCGATGGTGATCCGAAAAACTTTTACAATTATTAAATTTCCCTCTTCAATTCTAAGAAAAGTATTGCAGAACAAATAAGGAGGCGAGTGGAAAAAGGCAAGACGGACAAAATACTGCACCTTTCATAGATTATAGATTAATATAATAAAGATATTGCGTCTTTAGCACAGAATATTAGTTTATTGATCTGATCTCTCCTTTTTGCTATCTTATCTCAATCCCAACTCATATTAATCTGAACAACGCTCAGTCTTAACTCAATCTCATCTCAGTCTCAACCCATCTTAATCTTAATTCATCTCAATCTCAACTCATCTCAATCTCAGTTCATCTCAATGTCATCTTAATCTTAATTCATCTCAATGTCAACTCATCTCAATCTTAATTCATCTCAGTCTCAACTTATCTCAATCCCAACTCAATCATTATCTCAACTCAATTTCATCTCAATCTCATCTCAAACTTAATTCCTCTTAATCTCAACTCATCTCAATCTTAATTCATGTCAATCACAGCTCATCTCAATCTCAATCTCAACTCATCTTTGCAATTTACAATTATTAAATTTCCCCTTCAGATAAATTATCTGAATCCCAACTTATCTCAATCCCACCTCATCTCCATCTCATCTCGATGTTGTCTTATTTCGTCAGCATCTGAATCTCAATCTGATATTTCCACTTTCTTCTCTATTCTTCTCATCTCTTCTCTTAAAAACTATTTTCAACATATACTCTCAGCATTGTCAATGAATTTGACTGAGCTTCTCTCTTTCGGCTTTCAAAGTGACGAAAGAGGTCTTAATAGCACATGGTGGCCGGGACAGGTGTGGTGGTGGTCATGTGATTTGGGGGGCAGGTGTGACACAGGTTAATGGCAAATGCGTAGGCAATTGCATTTCTAATGTATTCTACTTACTTTTCGTCTTATTATTACCAAGGTCTTTCGGACTGTGGGATGATTGTGTATAATTGCTAATATTTGTATTATGACTGTCAGAGGTAGTTTGAATTTTGATATTTGTGGTGTGTTTCGGATGGAAGAATTGTTTGCTATTATGATTATTATTGTTATTATTATTAGATATGTTAGTTGAATTTGAATTTGAATTCAAATTTGAATTTGTTGTTTTGCTGTTTGATGATGTGTTTGTTGTCGTTCTGTTCGTGTCCGCACCAGAGTTAATGGCCCAAGTATTAATTGGCCAGTTAATCGTGCTCTGCACAATGTTACTGTAATTTGTGTCAACAACAACCGGCGACAGGTAATGCATATCTTTTTTGCCAACTTCCTCGTGTATGTTGAGCTGATTTGTTGTTTCATCCTTACCATTACTGTTCATATTATTCAGATTGCCTTTGTGATGTGGATGTTGATTATTCTGTTGCGTTGGCACATTATTAATCCGAATGCCAGACTGTATATGATGATGGTTGGGATAAGGCATGTGAATGCCGCCCCGTCCAGGTGGCAGCATATTTATGCTGCCATGGCCAGGTGAGTGCATTATGCCCGATCCTCCAGCTCCGCCTCCTATAGCTCCCACTCCTCCTCCTCCTGCTGCAATTACATTCGGTTGAATGGGTATGCGATTAAATTGATCGATATTAGTATTGATCGAAGTGCCCATGCCATTGACGGGCTTCATTTGAACACCGTTCCCAGCTGCCGATCCACTGCCAATGCCCATGCCAATTGTATTAATTCCATTTTGGCTATTCATATTTCGATTAGGATCAACATTAACTGCAGCATTATCGACGCCATTGTTCCTATTGGCCGTTCCTCCACTGTCCACACCTGGCATATTGCCCAGCAGTGTTGTTGTCTCCGTTGTCTTGTTCTTCTCTTCGGGCGCACAGCATACTTTGAACACAACTTTCATATTATTTGTGGAACAGCGACCACCTATGCGACGATACAAATCGTCCTTCGATGACGTCGCTATAATTTAAATACAGCAAAAATATAAAGATTAGATTGTTCAATGAAAATCAATTCAATAGTTATTAATTATTATTCAGGTATTTCACTATTGGTCCTACGTTATCATATAAATCATATAAACTATAGTTTCGTTTAGTATAGTAGCGAATATAGCCAATATTTACGACCAACGGAATCAAGACGACCATGTACTAAAGGTTTAATTAAAATCAGTTAAGGAACATACAAGTTAAAATATTAAAATTATATTCTTTGCAGGGATGAAATCCTGAGGAAAAAAGTCTTTTTATAATTGAACATATTATTTTCTGGACACTCCAGTTTAAATCATAGTGCAATATTAAGTCTACATTAGAGAATGCTTATAAAACCCGAATTAAATATTCGATTCTTATCGATATTAAAGAAATTTCAAAAACGGGAACATCCTAGAAAGAATTTGGCTTTTAAGTTATGCATAAGAAAACAAGTCCTAAAATCGAATTTGAATTAAAAAGTTGTGTGGTATAAAGATACACTTAAATCATAAGCGGGATGAACACACGGACGGAAGGATACATCGACTCAGTAGACCTTTTTACTGAGTCAAAGATATAAAGAAAGATTTACTTCAGATTAACTTACAAATGAAATAGTAGTCATTTCCAGGTAGGAACTCTAAACCACCTGGCTGTGGTGTAAATGGCCGGAAAGTTATCGTAAAAAACATTAATTTCTGAGGCTTATCACATATAGCTATTACTCGCGGATCGGCGTTCGTTATGCGACATGTTTCGTACTCCACTTTGGATACATTGTATATAATGTATTTCTCTGTTTCATTCTCAAATGCCCCGGGCTCATAAACTGGACATATTATGTGCACCTGATCGAACTCAAATGCTAGATTGCCTTTGTTCACGTCAATAATATGATCCGTATTATCGATCCGAAATCTGTAAAGTTAAAAAAAATTAAGGTTAAGTTGAAGTTATATATTTTTCAAATTGGTATCAATACATTTACTCTAACAATCTGCTCTCTACTACCATTACATAAGAAGATGGAGTATCTTTGGTCGAGCTGTATTTTTCAATGAAAACGTGATGAAGAAGGAAGATGTACAAGTGAGAGAGGCAAAACCACAAAGTTATTCTTCCACCCCCACACCTTTTTGCATCCATTACTCATTCCCAGGATGTCCTCACGTCAAGGAATAGTTCCTTTCAATAAGTGATCCGTACAAGTACAAGTGAGAGGTAAAGATCGAGGCAACACCACCAAGCCATTCTCTATTGAGGAGACCCACCCCTTATTACATGCCTCACCCACATCCAGAGTATCCTCACGTCCAGGAATTGTTACATTTTAATATGTGATCAAGAAGAAGTACAAGTGAGAGCTACAACACCAGCACTACCAACAAGTTATTCCCCCATCCTCCCCAGGTTACATATATTATTTCCTCATCAGACGGAGAACAGCAAACGCGTTATTTATTTATTTATTTAGAAATGTGCGACTAAATACTGGTGGTGCGTTGACGGAGAGTGCTGAATGCATTCGAAAAGGGTAAGGTTCGGTAGGTCATAAAACCTAGGCTCGGGCCTGCAGTCGAAACCACAGGAGGGTTCCACTCGATACCAGCTACCTCGACCCTTCCCACCTTCCCACATTCCCCCATGCCACCCATCAAGTGCTGTGTGTTTAACACGCAGCACGCACTTATGTCTTATGTCTGCCTCCTGCCCCCGAAAAACGTTTCCTTGGTTTCGTTCTGCTCCCCTTCCAACTTCCAACTGCCAACCTCCAAGTTCCCAGTTGTTCTTTGTTTATTTTTTCTTTCCTTCTATTTTATTGTAGAGCTTTGTAAATCAAAAATCACCCCTAATGAAGTACGCACATTTCACATGTTCGCTTTTGCGACACTCACTCAATCGCATAAATGTGCGAGTGCGACTAGGGTTACGGCAACACACACACACACACACACACACAGTAACTAAAAAACACATAAATACTTATATATGAAAGGGGAGCCCAATCAATTTTACAATATATATATATATATATATATATAATCCATGCTATAATTATATATATAATTTATCTGGAAGATCTTGATTATTTTTAAATTATGAAACAATTATAGCATGGATTATGACAGTTATGTAGGGGTGTGTGGGTGTGTAGGTGTGTGTGTGTGTGTGTGTGTGTGTGTGTGTGTGTGTGTGTGTGTGTGTGTGTGTGTGTGTGTGTGTGTGTGTGTGTGTGTGTGTGTGTGTGTGTGTGTGTGTGTGTGTGTGTGTGTGTGTGTGTGTGTGTGTGTGTGTGTGTGTGTGTGTGTGTGTGTGTGTGTGTGTGTGTGTGTGTGTGTGTGTGTGTGTGTGTGTGTGTGTGTGTGTGTGTGTGTGTGTGTGTGTGTGTGTGTGTGTGTGTGTGTGTGTGTGTGTGTGTGTGTGTGTGTGTGTGTGTGTGTGTGTGTGTGTGTGTCTATGTATATATATTATATTATACATAAATATAATAAGTATATTATTAGAACACTTACATGCTGTTCGATGTATTCCAATGCATATAGAATGTCTTAGCGCAACTGGACATTGTGGAGAGTAGGACAGTTTCTATGCAAATGATCGTCAGTAGCGTGACAAGAGATGTGGCACCCAAACTGGGCAATGGAACTAACATTTTGAAACGCACGGAATGATTCTTCTTCTTCTTATTGCTTATGTTAATACTTCTCGTACTGTCATCGTTAGATTTTTGCTCAGCTGCGATCACTGTTGGCGGCGACTGAGGGCATAGGGGGTGGCTCTTGAGGTGCATTGTATTAAAATGCTTAATACATTGTTGTTGTTGTTGTTGTTCTTGCCCTTGTTCTTTGCCAGTGCAAACTTTAGCTATTATTGTTGTTGTTCGATTGGCAAGAATGGTTTTTTTGTTACTCTTGCTTTTACATTTGGACTTTCGATGCATTGTAGCTGGTTTTAAGAGAGCGGTCGTTGGTTGATTTCGTTTTCGAGCTTTTGGCATATGTTTTTTGTCAATGGTCGTCGGTGGAGTTATTGTTCTGTTGCTTGGCTCCTGGTGATGGTGGTGCAGCTGATAGTTCTGGTGCTGGTGGTGCTGGTGCTGGTGCTGCTGCTGCTGCTGACTGAGTGTTAGGGACTTTCCCATCCATTTATCGTAATTAATATTGTGCTCCGCCAAGCCGTTTTCAATACAATTAATGCGTATAGCCAAAGCGTCTGCTGCACCATCCTTTTCACTCGCACTTGACTTGGACATCAGCTGTTCTTCTGCGTTCAATGTTCCCACAATTTTTGGCAACGATTTCCAGTTGACCGTAAGCCCACTTAACTTTGACAACAGCTGATCTGTTTCTCTTTCAGACGTTCCAGTCAGCGATTTCCAGTTGACAATTAGCCCAAGCCTCCTACTTGATGGCGGTACAATAGTCATTTATATTATTATACATAAAGTGTTTCGTGTTACTGTTTGCTTTGCTATTGATCTCCTGAGGCCTTTAATTTAACTCTTTCTTTATCTATTTTTCCCACTCCTTTGGACCTTTGTAGATTTGTGACTTGTTGACCTGCTACTAATGCTGGTTCTAAAAAGCATGCCGGTGACCCAATTGTCGTTCTTGTTGTTATTTGTTTTTGACAATATTAAGCTTTCGTCCGCCGGCAACATGCCGATATCCCAAGTTTCTGGAAAGTACGAAGGAAGTTGTAAGATCAGATAATTTTTAATCAACTTGCAGGTGAATGAATTGTCCAATTCAACACGACGGACCATGGACAGTAACAGTAATTGTAAATATGTGTTTCTGTATCTGTGCGTGAGTGGGCTTATGTTATGTATCGTTTTCGTTAAATAACAGTATATGTATGCATCTGTGTACGACTTTTTACATACTTATATTTCAAGTGAACAAAATTAGACTGATCAATGTAATATGCGTTATTCATACACTCAAATGTATATTTGTATGTGAGTGAGTATTGTATGTACACAATGTATGTATATGTACATGTGTTGCTCCAATTAATTCACTTTAAGTATCTTAAATGCCGAATATTTCGAATTTGTATACAGGTTTAAAATGTAATATACAGGTAAGTATATACACATCATTTTCCCATTTTATAATACAAAACGTAACAAAAGGCACTTGTCATAGTCGTATATACATATATGCATACATACGTATACTGATCCTAAATACAGTACAATATATGAAAAACCCAATTCTTTTATATGGCTTGTTTTGAAAGGATAAAATAATGTTATTGCACTAAAATCAAAAAGTTTTGCTTCGGCTCTCCCATTCTCTCGTACTCCATCTCTCTCTCTCTCTCTCTCTCTCTGTCTGTTTCTTCCCTCGCTCTCTCTCTCTTTCTGTCTTTTTCCTCCCTCGTTCTCTCTCTTGCACTCTTTCTCTCTCTTGGCTGTCTCTCGAAGGAAACTCAAATACATAAACATTGAATCCGACGATTTTCTTGTATACATACACAAAACCAATACCATAAGCGAATATATTTTTTATGAGTCAAATCATGAAATATTTCAGAAGCTGAAACATTTTAAAACCGGCATGGAATTATGAAAACGTATTAGTGGCGCCTTATATACAAATGTTTGTCCCCTAGTTGTTTCATTTTAAATGCATAATAATCACTTACACGCACACAGACACAATGCCAAGTGTTTTATGTATATATACATTGTCGAATTTTATTTTTTCTTTCAGCTAATCACATTTTTTCTGTTTTGTATGTTTAATAAGTGCGGAGCTGCCGTATCCGTATCCACGTCATTTTTTTTAATTTAATTTGTCTAAATTCGTATGTAAATAACTATTATACAGTATTTAAAGAGCTGTGTATTAAGTGTAAAAAAAATAATACGAAACTGACAGTGTGGTAGTATCTGAAAAATGTATCTGTATCTAAAATGTATTTTTACAACAACTATTTATTAGTTACAGCTATTTGGTTTATGTCACGAGCATAAAGTATTGATACATGCGGTCTTAAAATACTAAAAATACTGAATTTGTTAAAAAAATATTTCATGCAATGAATAAGGGATTTACTTTCAATAAAAATAAATAATATAACAAAAATGAATTTAAGATATAATTTTTTAATTCACAAACAACTCTTATTTGTTTGAAGAAAGTATTTATCATAAGATGACGAAAGTATTTAAATAAAGAACTGAACACTAGCAATATTGACGCATAACACAATCGATAATATCCGATTTCGATTGTACATTCGGGCATATATTTAGTACCAGCATTTTTTTAAGGTAAATCATGGTAAAGGTTAACATTCGTAATTCTGTTAAATCCAATCCAATCTGTTTCCTATAACGCGACATGATTTCACACATTTGCGTTGCGTCAATACTAATTTCGATTAATTATTCTCAGGTGTGGACTTTTGCCAACTCTTTGAGATGAGCAAATAACAGCCGTGCTTAATGGATAGAAAAAGTTCCGACTACAGTATTTTTATTTTGGCGCTTTGTACATATAATTCAAAGCAATTGAAAAAATACATTTAGTGTAATTTATATTTATTTATTTATTTAGCCAATGTAAGTATGCTTGTTTAAGTGTAAGTAATATTAATTAAGGATAATATAAATAAGAACTGTCTTCATTGTTTGTAGATTAATACTTAAAAAACGAACTTCTTAAGGCTACACTTCATAACTGTGTTTTTAATCTCTATTGCAGCACTACGATAAATAAACAGTAAGCACTGGTAGCCCAAAAAAGCACGATTCGTGAACTCCGAAACTCTACATTATTTAAGAGAGAATAGAACTTAAAATCTACCCCGCAGATAGGAACTTTGCCAGTTATGTTAGTTTGTCCGTATTTCATATTTATGAAATGTAGATTTATCTCCGCTTCGCAAACGCAAATTCTTTTCATGCAGCCTTGCATGTGCAAAATATCGATATCTATCACTTGAAGTATGCACCACCATAGGCCTACAACGCAACAGCTGTTCGGCTTACCATTGCGTTGACAGCTCTGTTTTGATTGAAAAATCTAAAAAACTATTTTTTAGAGTTGAAAATGTTATCACTGAGTTTAAAACGCTCAGTAAGCGTTGGCGCGCAACTCTTAAAATTGCAGTCGTCTATTGCTGTAACAACAGCAGCAGCAGGTGGCACCAGTAGCTTGGGGTGAAACACATTACTTACATAACCATTAGCTACATGAATTATAAATTGTATGTACTTGTATCTCTCATTTAGCTGGAATCAATATCGCGGCGCAGCAAAATGGTATCCAGATCCCGAATTCATGAAGCAATTTAGCGGCGCAGTTATGTATCCCGATGAAGTGACCACCCTTTGGAAAGTCCCTCCATGGAACAGTATGTATTATACACTTTATATGTATATATATATATATATATATGTATTTATATAAAACAACTTCTTGTGTGTAACAGGCAAAGTGGTGCCGGTTGAGAAATCGGTTCGCAACTTGACGTTAAATTTTGGACCACAACATCCGGCTGCTCACGGTGTCTTGAGACTGGTGTTGGAACTCGATGGCGAGGTTAGTGTTTTATATTTTCCTCCATTATATTTCAATATTATAATTTTTTGCTTTGTGTTTTTTGTTTCCTTTTAGACAGTGATGCGCGCAGACCCACACATTGGCCTGCTACATCGTGGCACCGAGAAGCTAATCGAGTACAAGACCTACACCCAGGCTTTGCCATATTTTGATCGCTTGGATTATGTTTCGATGATGTGCAACGAACAGTGCTACTCGCTGGCCGTGGAGAAACTTCTAAATATTGATGTGCCACTGCGCGCCAAGTATATAAGAAGTAGGTATTTACAATAGTAATAGTAGAACATGTCATAACAGCTGACATGAGAGCAAAATAGCAGAAACTTTTCCCTTGGCATTTTCATTTTCTTATTTCACTACCGTCAGTATAGAAATCTAATAATTTAAAATGTAATTTGAATATTTTTGACGCATCTCAAAGTAGAAACTGTTGCCCATTTAAAATGACGACATAATTTGTTTGTCGAAGTATCATTAATACATTCGATAAATAAATTATATATATATATATATATATATATATATATATATATATATATAGATAGATATTTATGTATTATTGTCATATTGCCTTTTCCTGTTTAAAGTCCTCAGCAGGAGCTCTCACTCCACTTATTTCTTTTTATCTGCTATGTTCTTTTCTCTTTTACTTCACACATTTTGTGTGCTATTCTCGATTGATTCTATGTTTTTTCAGCTCTATTCGCCGAGATAACTCGAATTCTGAATCATATAATGGCTGTTGGTACTCATGCATTAGATGTGGGTGCGTTGACTCCATTTTTTTGGCTATTCGAGGAGCGTGAGAAAATGATGGAATTTTATGAGCGCGTTTCAGGAGCCCGCATGCATGCCGCTTACATACGACCCGGCGGTGTTTCATTAGTAATATTGATTTATCTATATACACATTTATATAAATTTAAAAATACCATATAATTGAATAACTCTTTGTTCGGTAGGATATGCCATTGGGTCTGCTGGATGATATATATGAGTTTGCATCGAAGTTTGGCGAGCGTTTAGACGAGGTTGAGGATGTTCTGAGTACAAATCGTATCTGGGTACAACGTACTGAAGATATTGGCATTGTCTCGGCCGAGGAAGCGCTGAACTACGGATTTAGCGGTGTAATGCTACGAGGCTCTGGCATCAAATGGGATTTGCGTAAGCAACAGCCCTACGATGCTTATCATCTTGTTGACTTCGATGTCCCAATTGGCACGAAAGGTGATTGCTATGATCGCTATTTGTGTCGTATTGAAGAAATGCGTCAATCTTTGCGCATCATCGATCAATGTCTCAATCAAATGCCGCCGGGCGAGGTGAAAACGGATGATGCAAAGGTGACACCGCCATCACGCACCGAAATGAAAACGTCCATGGAGGCGCTAATTCATCATTTTAAACTATTCACCCAAGGCTATCAGGTGCCACCAGGCGCTACCTACACTGCAATCGAAGCACCAAAAGGTGAATTTGGTGTCTACTTGATAGCAGATGGCTCCAGTCGTCCATACCGCTGCAAGATTAAGGCACCAGGATTCGCACATTTGGCAGCGCTAGAGAAAATTGGAAAGCAACATATGTTAGCCGATGTAGTTGCTATTATTGGCACTTTAGACGTTGTCTTTGGTGAAATCGATCGATAAAAACTGTTTCTATTATATACAAGTTAATAGTTTGAAATAAAAGTATATACTGTGAAGGAAACATTCAAAACATTTCAGTGTTTACTAAGCATACAACTACAAACCAGTCCTTTTCCAAGGTAATTAATTTGTGTATACCACTAAAATAGAAATCGTTATCAAGCCACGAGGGTGATACTTAAAAAATATCGGCTTCGTTAACTTTTTGGTTAATCTCTACATTAAAAGCAGGCTCAATATACAGCTGATAGTTGATACATTGATCGATATTAATCGATTTTGGGGCCTTTGTACCTTTGTAGGTGAGACATCTCGATTTGTATGTTAGATTGCATATTCTATACAAAAATCGTGTGGATTTGGTACACGCTGTGTAGGGGAAACCAGCAAGATATCGAAGATGTGATATTAATTGATCATACTATTTAAAATAGTTGCTAAAAATATACATAAAATATATCTATCCGAAACTCTATATTAATCGAATAAATACTTTGAGAAATAATAAAAAATTATAACGTTTTATTTAAATCAAATGTAAGGTAAAACCTAAAATAATACTTATAAATATATATTTATATTTGTATTGCATGACCAGCTCTGATTTTGTTTTTTATTTAACTTTATTTTTTATCTTGTAGTTTATTCACAAAATTTCTTAAAAACTGAATATGCCAAACAACATCGAAGATAAATTTACTTTATTATATAAACGTTTTTCTTTTTATAATAAAATGTTATCGTTCACATCATGTGTTTGCTGTAGCCAAATGAATCTATATATATATATATATATATATATATATATATATATATATATATATTTGAATGAAATTTAGCTTTTTTGTATTATATTTAATGTTTAGTATATCCATTGAATAGGCTAAAATTTGATATTAAATAACACTAGGTTATATATTCATATATACATATGTATATATATATATATATATATCATATTATATCTATGTTTTCATTTAAGACATATACGTATTTATAATTTCTTTCAATTAAAATACATACATATATATATATATATATATATATATATATATATATATATACTATATATATATATATTGAATTGAATATTTTGCTATGCATGTTTTGTATTTTGTTACCTAATAAGTTGTTTGTTTGTTTTGTTTTATACTACGTGATCACATTGAAACTTTTGTTTTATAAACGTTTTTTTTTTTAATTTTTAGTTATAATTTTAAGACATATGTTTGTTTAATTTTATATAACATATTTCTCTAAAAGCTTTAACAATTTTTTTCAACATTTTTATATTTAGTTTGACATTTGAATAGCTCTATATATATATATATATATATATATATATATATATATATATATATATATATATATATAACAAACTGTCTTGATTTAATTCTACAAATTAGATTTAGACGATTTTCGCTGTATTCAACATAGTTAAGGAAATTCTAATTCATGACATTTTTTAAATATATATATCTATATATTGCACTTAATTGGTCAATATTCACAGAGTACACAATTCAACTAAAGATTTTATCAAGATGAGAAATATAATAAACTAAAAAAATATGTATGCAAGAAATATATGTAATATATTTATATAACATTTACATATATACACATATATGCATACATATTTGACTTATTAAATATGTTTTCTTATATATGTTCAAAAATCAAAAGTCAATAAGGCCAAACAAAAACATTAAACTGCACAGGCCAACAGTAACTAGTATCCAAGAATCACATATACATATATTTTATACTTTATTACTAGGTCCACAAGTTTCTCATGTGCTGAATGCGAATCGGATATTTCAATAGAACTTTCTTAATATAGGAAATGAATACTAAACGTGATGCAAAAGTATCTTTATCATTCTTTCTATTTAGATATCGTCTTATCCAAAGATTGAAAAGCCCTTGCGCTCTGACTTCTATTATTCTTTCATCTGACAGTATCTTCGCGACAAAAACCGTTTAATTAATTTTTTACATTTGATTTTGCAGTGTCTGAAATATGGCTGATAGATACGTTTTTCACGTACTTTTCGGCTAATACATCCGGTTGGCCTGCTTTATTTAACAAACATTTTTGTATTAATTAGAACATTTTAAATATATAACGCTTTTTCCTTTAATTTTCTCTTTAATTTGATGAGTTTTTTCCTTTTTTTTGATATTAAGCATTTTGCTATTACCTTATAACCTTTATTGCCATTTAAACAATTAAAAAGTAAAGCAACTGATAAGTAAATTTAAATTTACTAATATACAATATGACTCTTCTAAATGCTACATTTCTAAATATATAATTCATATAAATACATATATTTTTAACATTAAATTAAAAGCTTTTCGAATTTTGTTTAACTTTTTTATATCAAGAGATGATATTTTAACAGAAAAATGATCACATGTTTTCTTTTTAGCAGCTGGCATAATACATAAAAACTATTTACATATCCGTCAGACAATAATTAATTTTATGATTTAGTGGAACGGGGATGAGGAAAAACAATAGGGATTTGATGTATACCTTAAAATTCCCATTGCTCCACTCCCCATTAAATATTATAAATTTTGTGTACACCATAAACCTCTTCCATTCTCCACTCTACTACACATTAGCCAATATTAGTTTTCCACTCCACTACACTCCGCATTCTGCATCTAAATTCCATTATTTTTTCCTGTCTATACACTTCCTACTCTTCATTCTTCATTGTTCATTCTGTATTCTACGGTTTCTACGGTTTCTATTATTCATTCTGCACTCTTCATTAGCCATTCGCCATTCAATCTGTTCTCCATTGTCCATTGCGCATTCTCCATTCTTCTCATCTACTGTCCGTTCGTCATTTTCCAGTTGTATTGTTCGATACGCAGACGATAATTTAAAAAGCCTTTGAATTTCTGTATTTAGTGTGTACATCTCTTGTTGGGATAACTATATATTAATTTATTAATTCAATAACTGCATTTCTTGCCAATTATTTAAGACTGTTTACAGTTGGCGGTAAAATATTATCGGCAGTATTTGAATCTGGTGATTTTTTTATTTTATCGCAATAATCGTTGAAAATATCACGAAATCGTAGCCAGCACTTTTCAGGTATGGTTATAGAAGTACGAAAATTATTTTTCACCTTAAAAAAAGGATAGATGTTTAATGAAGAGCAGCATTCTTCAGTCGTAAAAATGTTTGAGAATTGGAATAGAACTTTTACCTCACTTATTCGCATATAAACTCCTCGATTATTTTGTCCAATATCAAAGTAAAAGTTCTTGTTGTCCACTTTCATATGACGCTCTTCGGGTAAATCACCTTTAAATCTGAAAATGTTACAAAGAGACGTTATTCATTTATAAATCGACACAATTATTACTAACAGTTGGAACAGGTAATTAGAAAAAGGAAAGTATACCCTCTTCTCCATAATAACTTAGCACACTTAAACTGACTATATTCTCTTCTCTACTTTCTATCTTTTCTTCCACATTGCCAATCTTTTCCACGCTTTGTTCTTTCTATCTATTATTCCGTTATCTTCAAATTTCTTATCTTCTTTCTCTTTAGTTTAATTTTCTGGTCTCTTCACATGTAGGTTTTATTACTCTTCAATCGTTTCATTTTGTCTTCTATCACTTTTCTTTTTTTTACTTTCTTTTCCTCTTCTCCTCTAAAAGTTTAGTCAACTTTATACTCTTCAAATCCCTTGTTTTTAGTTCTTGTTTCTTGTCTGTTTTGTCTGCCCAGTTTATTATTTTTATTATCAAATACTAATACATATGAATTTTTTATAGTCTGTTTTTCTCTGTTTTATATCTTTTCGTCCCGTTTCTTGTAATAAGGTCACAAACGAGAAAAGAAGAGAGAACTGACAGAAATTCTCTTAGAATATTGGTTATAAATACTTTACCCTGCATCAGTAACTCCAAACTCTTCCAACAAATCAGTTAACGCATCTCGAAACTCGATCATGCCTTGAGCTGGCAATGCGATTTGAGATCTGGGTCCCCCTCTTGTTATTGTTTGCGAAACCTAAAAAATAATATAAAAGTTTTCATTTTCACTATTCTTATATTTTATTATTTAAAGAAATAAAGTAGTATCAAACTATTCAAATGTTTGCATTTTATTCTACAATCAAAACAAGAATTCTCTACACTAAAGAACTCTTTAACATTAAGCAACATTATTCCAATTACAGAAAGTATTTCATATTTTTAATTATTCTTAAACTAAATGATATATATCATAATGTTGAATATTTACCCTTAGGAATCTTCCACGTGCATTTTCCTTCAAGTCCAAATAATATCTTCGATTGTCCTTAATCATCATCTCTGATTTCAATTTGCCATCCTCCGGCAAATTGTCAGTATTTGGTGGCCCTGCGTTTCGATTAACTTGATTTGATTTTAAGCTCAAAAACATGTCACTAAACAAAATGTTAATAGTCTATTATAATATCCTACCTAAAGAAGCATAATAATCGCTAAACGAAGATAGATGATCACGAAACTCAGCTGCTGTCGACAGAGCTAAATATATTTGACTTCGTCTGCCGTCTGCTCCAATCTGAAAATAATAACAAATACATTAACTATACTTGCTCACAAAACCATAAGTAAAAGTATTCTAGTCGGTTAGTTAGTTTCTAACTACTAAACACCCTGATCACCCCTTTCAGTTATTCTAGAAATCTCTTATATACACATGAATATGTATTTTTATACAAACATCAAAGGACGTTCTTCAAGTTATGATAAAAAAAAAAACAAAGTGAAACTATTGATACTAAGGGAAAAAGAAATAAATATGTGTGGACAAACAGACTAAGTTTATGGAATAGCATTTTCCATGGCAAAGCAAAATATACAATATATTCTAGATCTTGATTTTGATTAATTCGAATTAGTTTCGAATTAGTATATATATATATAAAATATATATATATATTTACCTCAGCCACCTTTATGAAGCGCCCGCGACGATTTTGTTTAACATCCAAGTAAAATCGTTTTGATTGGATTTGAAGCATTTTTGTGGCCAATTCCTGTTCGACAGCACTGCCAGCTGGAAACATAATTGGTTATTATGTTAAACAAATTGTAAATTGGCGAAAAAAAGTACACTCGCCCGTGTATGTGTCTTTAAAATCATACCTTTTCCCGATTCAAAATCATTTCTACTTGAAGAGCCTTCCATATTGCTTGCATTATATTCTGAAAAATTATATAGATGTTAAGCATTTTCGTGACTACGTGAATTAATTAAATCACCTAATCATCGCATACAAACTGAACACATCTCTAAAAATGTGCACTTATTGCAATGGTATAAAAGAACTGGTTAATTTTGCAATATATTAGAACTTACTTGATCCCGAAATGCCGTCGTCGCCGCTTCCAAGATCAGACATTGCAAAATACTTTCGAGTATAGCGTTGGGTATACAGCTTTGGTGATTTCAAATTCTATTGCCGTTAACTGATTTACTAGTTTCTGCCACTGCCTCTCTTACGATATCCTTCACCTACAAGCAAATTTGGCCTAAGCAATACTCTGCAGTCTACCAAATAAACAATACATAAACATAAATAATCGAAGATAAACAAATATATTTATATATATATTATACAAATTTACATACAAAACGAAACATTATACATGTTTAATTTTTTGGAAAACTAATACATACAGGTTTATATATACATTTGTATGTGTGTTGCCTGTATACACACTTTCATAAAGAAGTACATGTAAACTTTTCAATGAACTACTCTTGCAAAAACCTTGAACGCTCTGCATACATACGTACACATGCTCACATGCATATCTTAAGCATGTACATACATATATATATATATACAAACACACTATATGTGTGTATGGGGTTTTGTATGTACGATTCCTTTTTCCCACCATGTTTATGTAATTTTTTCAATTCCGCTACTGGCAATTCAAAATTATGAAAGGTTATTTTTCTGTGCACACTGTAAAGGTGCAACAATCTTGCGCTAACTTTTTAAATGCATTGAGAACTAAATGTACACAAACATTATTGCCCATACACATACAACATACACACACATACTCGCACAAACTATACTATTGCTTTATTTTGCTTCTTGAATGCACTGCATCGAACGCACTTGAAAACGAATTATTAAAACATATAGATTATAATTACTTATTTTAAGTTACGCACATATACACGCATAGACAGTTTGACGGAGATGCTCAATTCGAGATGACACGTGAGACATTTCTATTTCGATATTGATAACAAATAATTTAATTCGATCTTAATTTCCCCAGACATAAGCTGAAAACAAGAGACGTGCTAAGTCAATCGGATAACCGGATCGTGGCTATTAAACTCTATTTTTTATTGTATTAGACTTAAAGCTTACTCCGCTGCAACATAAAATTATAGTGAAACTTTTAGCAGTACTAAGACAATGTATCGCATTTTCAAAGTTTCGATTATTATGCACACAGCTCACGATATATTGAGAAAGTGGCAACCCCTTAATTTTGTTTTAACTTCAAGTAATCAAATCATACAAGCTTAACGTTTTTTGATACTTGGCATAATATATATCGAAACATGTCGCAATACCTAACAACTCTAATTCCAATTTCAAATCGGTATTGAGTTTTATAGAATAATTAACTGTTAAAAAGCACTATAAAACTCAATTAGTAATGTCGCATACTTTCTAGTTTCTAAAAAGGTATATTGAAGAAAATCAATATGCTGGTAACAAATTATTACAGAAGGAGAACTGTTTTCTACGTTGCTTCCTTTTATCAATATTATTACATCAGATGTAATTAAGCTCGAATATTAAAAAACTGAGCGCGAAACAGTATGTGTAGGTGAATGTAGAAATAGTTGCACAGGGTAGAACAGGGTGCTAATTATAGTACAAACTACTGTTAAATAACAGACTCTGCTAACAGTGAAATACTCGCAAATGGGTAAGAGTGTATCCACATGCTTAGATGTGATTTAGTATTTTATGGTATTTTTATATAGTGAAATCGAACGAAACGATATATCACGCGCTTTTAACATTCTGTTAACTTCCTAAATATTATTCCTTGTTGAGATTGGAATGATAATAAACGGTAAAGGAGAATCCACAGTTCGTCCGTACGGTTGTGTGCCGCGGAA